TTTCTCTTGGAACGCAACCCATAACGCTTCGTACTTTCTCCTCCAAGAACACCATCCATGTATTTGCAGCATCAGATAGGCCAACTGTCATTTATAGCAGTAACAAGAAATTGCTCTACAGCAATGTCAATCTGAAGGAAGTGAGTCATATGTGCCCTTTTAACTCTGCTGCTTTTCCGGACAGGTTTGCCCCCTATTCCTTTTCTTATAACTGTTCTCTAACTCGAAAGAAATTTATTCTCAGACGAGTCATTTAACCCATAAAGTCTAAACTTTCATGCAACATTAAGTTTTGCTTCGGCGAATATTATAGGCTAGCAGACTAAAATATTTCCATTAATCTGAAGATTTGATGCTCAGAAGTGGCTAATTAGTGCTGGCTGATGACCAGATATAGGATTTTCAAGGTTTAGCTGGCTATCAGTTTTTCTCTATTTAGCCTTCTTAAATGAAAACTTGGGTTAAGAGTTCCAGTTACTGTTTCTTTTGACCAGCCTCGCCATTGCAAAAGAAGGTGAACTTACCATTGGCACCATTGACGATATTCAAAAGCTTCATATCCGCACTATCCCACTTGGAGAGCATGCACGTCGCATCTGCCATCAAGAACAATCCCGCACCTTTGCAATATGTAGTTTGAAAAATCAGTCTAATGCCGACGAATCTGAAATGCATTTTGTTCGCCTGTTAGATGATCAAACCTATGATTTTACATCAACTTACCCTCTTGATATTTATGAGTATGGTTGCTCCATTCTTAGCTGTTCATTCTCTGATGATCCTAATGTGTATTACTGTGTCGGGACTGCAATATGTTTTGCCAGAAGAAAACGAGCCAACTAAGGTGCAATGGTAAACTACTAGCTGCTATAAAAAATTCAGCTATATAAGTGGATGCTTCGAGAGGATGGCACCCGGGAAATACAATCTGAATGCGGACATCATGGCCACATACTTGCCCTCTATGTGCAAACTCGTGGGGATTTCATTGTTGTAGGTGATTTGATGAAATCAATTTCATTGTTAATCTACAAGGTAAATAATCTAGGTTCCAAAAACACAAAGCTAGGCTTGACTTGCAATTTTAAATCCTTTCATAGCCTGTGATTTTGATTCCAAACTGGGCTTGTTCTCTATGTATCTGCTTCTCTTCTTGCTAATTGGTGCAAGGTTCCCTCTTTTGATTGCAGCATGAGGAAGGTGCTATAGAGGAACGAGCCCGCGACTATAATGCAAATTGGATGTCAGCAGTTGAAATTCTCGATGATGACGTTTATCTAGGTGCGGAAAACAACTTCAATCTGTTAACCGTCCGGAAGAACAGTGAAGGTGCCACTGATGAGGAACGGAGCCGTCTTGAGGTGGTCGGTGAATACCACTTGGGGGAATTTGTGAATAGGTTCCGTCATGGTTCCCTGGTGATGAGGTTTACAGATTCAGAAGTGGGGCAGATCCCAACTGTCATATTTGGCACGGTGAATGGTGTGATTGGGGTGATTGCTTCACTTCCGCACGAGCAGTACGTGTTTTTGGAGAAGTTGCAGTCAAACTTGAGAAAGGTAATAAAGGGCGTGGGAGGGTTGAGCCATGAGCAATGGAGGTCATTCAACAATGAGAAGAGAACCTCAGAAGCCAAAAACCTTTTGGATGGAGATTTGATCGAATCATTCCTCGATCTGAGCCGTGGTAAGATGGAGGAGGTTTCCAAGGCCGTGGGTGTTTCTGTGGAGGGCATTTCCAAGAAAGTGGAGGAACTAACCAGGTTGCATTGAATTGTTCATGTGTTTGCTTTTTGCTCTTCTGACATTTTATTATTCTTTGTTTGGAATTGGATGGTTGATATTGTCATGCACTGGACCAATTCGATAAAATCTTATCCTAAACAGTGGAAAGGCCTTCCAACTTATAATTAAATCAAACCTGAATCAGTGTTTTGAAAACTAGATCGGACCGATCGGTTTAACCGGTTCAACCGGTTTAATCGGGAATTGCTGTTTAGTCCGATTCAATTTACACCGGTTGAACCGTTACTAGTGAACCAGCCAGAAAAAATCGAACTCGAGTATTGTTGAGCTCGACTCGAACTTGAAAACTTTAAAAGTAAGCTTAATTCAACTCAAATTCACGAGTTAAAAATTATCAAATTCAACTCGAACTCGAAATATAATATTGAAACTTCAACTCGAAAAGGTTTGAACTCAAAAAAAATTTAGAAGCTCGATTGAAGTCTAAAATTCGAGTTTGATTGAAGTGAAAGAATAGTTCACTCAATGCTCACTAAAAGGTTCTATGATTTTGAATACCAAATTACCTCTATTATTTATAGAAGTTAGTTGGGATGCTCTTCTATGTTTCTTAGTCATGTGAAATTGTTTTGTTCTCATATTTTTACTCTTTAGACTTTTGGGATGTTCTTCTATGTTTCTTAGCCATGTGAGATTGTTTTAAAAAAAAAATTAAACCACACAATATCATTTTGTTATGATTTTTTAGTCCCAAATTTATTTTTTAATTATAGTTATATAATTATATTTATTATTTAATATGTTTTACCTTAAATATTATGTTGTAGTTAATTTGAATCATTTTGTTTCACTTGATTTTATGGTTTTTAACTTATATATGTTATGACTTGCTTTAAATATGACTTGTGATATAAAAAAATATTTTTTATTAAATATTTTTGATATTTTTATTTAATTTTTTAAATAATTATGATGTCGTCCAATTCTTCCGACCGATCAAACTAATTCGATCGATTAAACTAATAAATCGATAGTATGACCGATTCGTTAACCAATCCGATTCTAAAAACCATGACTTGAACTAAAGGCAAAAGAAAGCACAACTTACCCATTACATGTTTCATGCAAAGCCCGCGTCACACCGCTTGGGTATATCATTTATGTGCATTATTAAAATCTCATCTTTTCTTCATATATTTCTGTTATGAAATAAAAAAAATATTAAAAACTCCACCGTGTATCTTTTCTTCATTGGATTACGTAAATTTTTAATAAATGTTACAACGAAATCTTAAAATAATAACATGAAATATTTGAAATCTATTTTAATAAAAAAATAACTTAATCATATAAATGACAAAAGAGTATAATTTAAATATTTATTTTATATTAAAATCTTTTATGTATTTATTTTATAAAAAATAAATAAAATTTTCAATTATTTGTTAAATATTAATTTACTTGAACGTTATTGTCTCCTTTGTGATATAATAATAATACAATTATAAATTTTTTAAAAGTTTATTTGTGATATTTCTACATATGAGGCAGTTTTAATTTTTTATTAATAAAATTGCATTAAAAATGTTACTAATAAAAAATCCATTAAATAAATTGGAGAAACAATAAACTGAAAAAACAAAGAAACGTCAACGTTTTTAGTTATTACTATTAATATTAATATTAATATTAAATGTCATGAACTAAACAATTTCGAATAACAAAGAAATTATTGTTATTTTTTTGAGGTTTTGAGTTTGAGAACATGTGAGCGTTTAATGTCAGATGGTTGAGAGTTATTTTTAAAAACACACTACATTATATTTATCTCTTAATACTAAAATAAGTGTCCAAATTATATCGCTTTTCATGAATATGTTCTTAAAGTATTTTTGACTCATCAAGGTACCTAACATTACAAACATTACTATTTTAGATACCCAGGCCGTCAATGACATTAATTTCTTCTATTAAGTGACATATCTCACAATCAAATGATTTTAAAATATAATTTTTAAAATAATAGAAATATTATTATAAAAAAAATTAATTTCTCTTAAATTATAAAAGTGCTTCAAAATTCCTAAAATCTTCAAATCCTAACTTTAACACAACGTCGCCACTCTTTCTGGTCTGACCACTACCATCGATGTAGTCTCTGTCATCCTCTTAGTTATACGTCGTTATAGTTGTCGTCAGTGATCGTCGTGATCGTTGTGAGATCATGATTTTATCTAGGGTTGTGTGTAGGGGTGTGCAAATACGGGTACTCGATTACCGGGTTAAATTATAAAAGTGCTTCAAATTCCTAAAATCTTCAAATCCTAACTTTAACACAACGTCGCCACTCTTTCTGGTCTGACCACTACCATCGATGTAGTCTCTGTCATCCTCTTAGTTATACGTCGTTATAGTTGTCGTCAGTTGATCGTCGTGATCGTGTGAGATCATGATTTTCATCCTAGGGTTTGTGGTAGGGGTGTGCAAATACGGGTACTCGATTACCGGGTACCCGAAACATCCGGGTCGGTGATTTCTCGGCATGTGTCCCGACCCACAAATTTAAATGTTTGAAACTTCGAATTACATACTCTAACATCCGAACATAAAATTTAAAAGTTCGAAATACAAAATCTAATAATCCATTATATTGTATTATATATATAAAATAAATAAAAACTAATCGGAAAACACAATTTTTTTAGAAAATTATTCGATTTTTTAATGTTCGGGTTGGCGGGTCAGCGGGTCGGGTCAACCGGGTCGGATATTTTTACACACCCCTAGTTTGCAGGTATAATATTCGATTCGTTGTCATTCGATCATTAATCGATTACGATTTCATAGAGGTTTTGGTTGTCAAGGGAGGTGAGGTCGGGTGGAGCTTTGTTGACGGCAAAGGGCAACAGTTTTGGGTTATATATATATAATGTTGTAAATTAAAATAAAATTTTTAAAATTACTAAATTGTGGCACGTGTCGTTTAACGCGAAAAATTAATATCGTTGACAGTCCGGACACATGAAGTGGTAACATTTATAACGTTAGGCATCCGATGAGTCAAAAAATACTTTAGATACTTATTCATAAAAAATGGTATAGTTTGAGTACTTATTTTGATATTAAGCCTATATTTATCTCATATTAATAAAAAAAATACTAATATTAAATGAATGAATAAAATCTAATTTTATGATCTTTTCCTTCCTTTCATTTTGGCAATTTCATTTTCATTTTTGGTTCCCAATAAAACAGAATTTGATCGACGAGAAGAAGAATATATCCGAAAATGAACAATGTAGATTCAGACGGAGGCGAAGACGGTGCCTATCATGCAAAAGGCAATAGTAAATACAGTCCCGTAGGGGCTCAGGATCGCGCTGTTTTCGAAATGACCTCCATGGATCCCGATTCTTCCTCCGACGATTCCAACAGGTAATATAATCCCCACCCTCATTCTCATTTGCTGATCCTTTTTTTTATCATATTCGATAATCATGTATGTTTGCACTGGCAGGAGAGTAAACGTTCGAACGCACGAGAGCATGGATGGAAGGCAACACCAGTTGGAATTGTTTGGCTTTGATTCTCTTGTTAATATCCTTGGTCTCCAAAGGTACGTGATTTTATTCTCATTATTGCTTATTACAACTTATGAGATGTTAGTAATTGCTGATTAATGTTTCCAGAAACGTAATTAACAAATGAATAATTATTGCTTTCCAGTATGACACAGGAGCAAGTTCTGTCACCTTCTAGCACCAGAGTTGCTTCCATCTCCAAAGGGGGTCCAAATGTAAGCCATGTTTTTTACGTTAGCATGGTATTAGTGTAAAAACTTAGAAGAAAACAATAATCTATGTGGATTTTGAAGAAAAGGTAATTGGAATTTCCTTGAATTAGTACTGCCTGTCAATTATGTCAAACTTGGTTGAACTATTGGCAAGCATTGATAAATTTATTCATGTTCAAGTATGAACATTTTTTCTTGTAAATGTTACCGATCAAATCATTATTTCTTAACGAAACACAAGAATCTGTACTTCACAGCCTTCTCATGCTGTTCCATGTTCTGTGCATACATCATGCAGCCCGAAAAAATGGGTACACTGATGGGGGTATTTGTGCCATGCTTACAAAGTATTTTGGGGATTATCTACTATATACGCTTTTCTTGGTAAGTCCTTTTTTCTGAAGTTAATTCTTTTAACTTATGCAACTCCTCCTTTTATCTTGATGAGCAAGTGCAGAAGTACATGGACAATGTAAATGAAATGTGTGATCTGTTTTTAATTGTTGGTGCTGTTTTTTGAATTTTAAATTGAACTCATTTTTTATAATTTGTACTTTACAAGACTTTGTGGCACTATATTTGGTATATGTGCTACAGGTACACGTACACATATAGGTCCTTTAATATTTGGTATAAGGATTGGATTAGACTTTCAGTCAAGAAAAAAGTAATTAATTCTAACTTACTTTATGGAACAGTAAAATTTACAGTAAAATACGTAGATTTTGTAATTTTGGTTGCTAAGGGTCGTTTATGAGAAATGCAGGATAATTGGCATGGCTGGCGTTGCTGATTCACTGCTGTTGGTTTCGCTTTGTGGTCTGTGTACTTTCTTGACAGGATTATCATTGAGTGCTATTGCAACTAATGGTGCCATGAAGGTACATTAATTTATAATTACTTATCCTTCATAATAATTTTTTAGTTCACATATATGTGACTCCAATATCATAGTCATTTTGATGTCTTAAGGGGATGATTTACTTTTGAGTTGAATTTGGGTGTTGCCACCCCCATTTTTTGAGATTTCTTTCATTATATAACTATGAGCTGGTATTTAGTGGTTTTCTCAATAATTACTGTTAGGGTGGTGGTCCATATTATCTCATTGGTCGTGCACTTGGTCCTGAGGTTGGAGTTAGCATTGGATTATGTTTCTTCCTAGGAAATGCAGTTGCAGGAGCTCTGTAAGTTTAACTTCTGGTCCTTTCTTCCCTTTCCGTAATACTATTATCTGCTAAATAACTCAAGGACATAATATAATGGGAGTGCTCAGCATGAATCTTTCTTTCTTGATAGTATAATTTATTAAGTCTTTAACAGCATTCTGTTACATGTTCTTTTGATTGTGGTTGTAGTTATGTGTTGGGAGCTGTAGAAACCTTTCTGAAAGCTCTCCCTTCTGCTGGGTTTTTTACTGGTAATGATTAATTGCTGTCGACTGTGCAGATAGCATTTTATTTTATCTTTATAACCCATTTTTTCTAATTTATTTATTTTGAGGATTGTGAGGCTCTTGTCCCCATACATTTTGTGTCTTCTATTATGCTAAAAAGAATCTTTTTCCACTCATTTTTAATATCCTCCTGGTTTGCATTGCAGAAACCACTACAAAGGTGAATGGCACCGTATCAAAATCAATTACGACTATAAGTACACATGACTTGCAAATTTATGGGCTTGTTGTGACTATCATCCTATGCATTATTGTGTTTGGTGGGGTGAAAATGATCAATCGAGTTGCCCCTGTCTTCCTTGTACCTGTTTTAATCTCAGTACTTTTCATTTTCATCGGGATTTTTAAGGCGAAGAAGAATGATCCTGAAAGTGAGTATCTTCGTATTCCTTCTGTCCTCCCTCCTCTCTCTCTCTCTCTCTCTCTCTCTCTCTCTCTCTCTCTCTCTCACACACACACACACACACTTTGCCTCAGAGAATTACTTGTGGAGTTGATTCCTTAAGCATGAATATAACAGTTGCATATTGCTTGGTTTGAGCCATACACCATTGCTCAAAATCAATCTGATTTCCCTCCCTTGTTTAGTGTTCATGTTTTTCTTGTCATAATGGATGTATGAAATATGTTACTTTTTTTATACAGATGGAATTACGGGCTTGAATATTGAAAGCTTAAAAGATAACTGGGATCCACAGTATCAGAATACAAACAGTGATGGTATCCCTGATCCTTACGGAAAGGTGCACTGGGACTTCAAGTAAGAATATTTAAGGCTCATAGGATTGTTGTTACTGGAGAGAAATTTACTTGTGCCATGAAGTTGTACATGATACTATTCCTGAATGACTAGTTTAGATAAAAATCTTCTCTCTTGATTTTGTTCACACCTGTTGTTGATCCTGAAGATGATATAGCACAGATAAGTTCACATTCACCTTATTGTATTGAAACTTGTCTGATAATGGAGGTTTAGAATAAAACAGGTCCTAAGTTTAACCAGTGGCCACACTGCTGGTCCAAAAGAATAAAACAAGTTCATGTCTCCCTGCACCTCTCTAACCATCCAAGAAAAACCAGGAAAAAGTTGTTCCCTACTATTAAGTTTTGATATATGTTAACCACATACTTTTCTTGAAACTGGTGAAATCAATGATTTTCTTACATGGAGTTTCTAAATCATTGTTTATATACTTCTTCAGTGCATTGGTCGGTCTCTTTTTCCCAGCTGTAACTGGAATCATGGCAGGTTCAAATAGATCAGCCTCGCTTAAAGATACTCAGCGTTCAATCCCCCTTGGGACATTGTCGGCCACAATTGTCACTACAGTTCTGTATCTAGTTTCTGTCTTCCTTTTTGGAGCTGTTGCCACCAGAGAAAAGCTTTTGATGGACAGGTATTGAACTTTTCTAGTCTCACATTAACATTCTTCATGGATTCAGCCTGTAATGTTTTCCCCGTGCATTCTTTCATTAAGGATTTATGGTTTAGCGATATTGTTCTAATGCTAAACCAATTTTGATGCAGGGTACTTACTGCTACAATAGCTTGGCCTCTCCCGATTATCGTTCGTATTGGAATTATTCTTTCAACTTTAGGTGCAGCTCTTCAAAGCTTGACCGGTGCCCCTCGCCTTCTAGCAGCAATAGCCAATGACGATATTCTTCCTGTTCTCAACTACTTCAGAGTAGCAGATGGGAGTGAGCCTAACATGGCTACACTCTTTACTGCCATTATATGTATGGGATGTGTTATCATTGGGAATCTGGATCTTATCACACCAACTGTCACTATGTTTTTCCTTCTATGTTATACGGGTGTGAATTTGTCGTGCTTACTTTTGGATCTTCTGGATGCACCCAGTTGGCGTCCTAGGTGGAAATTTCACCATTGGCTCCTGTCTCTCCTTGGAGCATTACTTTGTGTAGGTATGTTTCCTTTCACATTTTAGCTGAAAAAAATGCATTTTTGCATCATTTCTTGATTGGAAGCCGATTTTCACAGCTGTTCTATTTGTTTTTGTTTATTGCAGTTATAATGTTCTTGATCTCTTGGTTATTCACTATTGTTTCTCTAGCCCTTGCCAGCCTCATATATTATTATGTGAGCATTAAAGGAAAAGCTGGGGACTGGGGCGACGGATTCAAAAGTGCATATTTTCAACTGGCCCTTCGCAGCCTTAGATCTCTTGGAGGTATTGCAATATCTTTGTATATTCGTGCTCTGCTTGTATTTTGTGTTGATGTATTTGACCTATTATTATTATTATTGCAGCAAACCAAGTTCATCCAAAGAACTGGTATCCCATTCCTCTTATATTCTGCCGGCCTTGGGGTAAGCTGCCAGAAAACGTACCTTGCCATCCAAAACTTGCCGATTTTGCCAACTGCATGAAGAAGAAAGGCCGTGGAATGTCCTTGTTTGTAAATATACTGGATGGAGACTATCAGGAACGTGCTGAAGATGCCAAGGAAGCCTGCAAGCAGCTTGAAACCTACATTAACTACAAGAGCTGTGAAGGTGTTGCAGAAATAGTCATAGCTCCCAATATGACCGACGGTTTCCGTGGAATTGTGCAGACCATGGGTCTTGGCAACCTCAAGCCGAATATCTTGGTTGTGCGGTACCCTGAAATATGGCGTCGCGAAAACCTGAAAGAAATCCCAGCCAGATTCGTTGGTATAATTAATGACTGTATTGTTGCGAATAAGGCAGTTGTCATCGTCAAGGGGCTCGATGAATGGCCTAATGAGTATCAAAGGCAGTATGGTACCATTGATTTGTATTGGATCGTGAGAGATGGTGGCCTCATGCTTCTTCTGTCACAACTTCTTCTTACAAAAGAGAGCTTTGAGAGCTGTAAGATTCAGGTCTTCTGCATTGCGGAGGAGGATTCCGATGCAGAGGTCCTCAAGGCTGATGTGAAGAAGTTCCTATACGATCTTCGGATGCAAGCCGAAGTGATCGTTATAACGATTAAGTCGTGGGATTCGGAGGGTGGATCTCAGCAAGACGAGTCATTGGAGGCATTCAATGCTGCTCGGAAGCGCGTATCTAGTTATTTGGCAGAAATAAAGGACACAGCAAAGCGAGAAGGAACACCATTGATTGCTGATGGAAAGAATGTAGTTGTGGACGAGCAACAAGTTGAAAAGTTTCTGTATACGACGCTGAAGCTGAATTCGACGATATTGAGATATTCGAGAATGGCCGCGGTGGTGCTCGTAAGCTTACCCCCACCTCCTCTCAACCGCCCGGCCTACTGCTACATGGAGTACATGGATTTGTTGGTAGATAATGTGCAGAGGCTGTTGATGGTAAGAGGATATCGCAGAGATGTTGTAACTCTATTCACATAGCATTTTTTTCTTCTTCCTCGGGATTATATATATCATCACTGTGATTTGTGTTTAATGTTCATATAGGTTCATTTTACCCCTTGTTTCTTATACTAAAAAATGTTAACATTAATTTCTCCATTTAATCAATAAAGGGCTAAAATTAGTACGGGTGATTTCATAAATTGTTGTTATTTTTATAGATCTCAGGCTTGAGCACCAAGATTACACAAAGTATTTGAGTGTTTATTGTTAAATAACTAAAAATATTAAGAATATATATCACTACTTATAATCGTTCTAGATTAATAAAAAAAAACTTCACTTTTTCACATAATTGCCAACTTGGGCTCGATGGAGAGATTCCAAGTTCCTGTTCCGCATAGTTGTCAACTTGGATCAGATTCTAAGTATGAACAATTAATACTTCTAACTTCAATTATCTATCATTATCTTAATGTAAGGATGGATTGAGAGTGAAGATGCCATCCTGATGGGGTTGTTATATCCTCAGAGGATATTTTCGAAAACAAATAGCTCTTTATCCCTCTAAACATCTCCAAATAGATAACAATTTTGTTCATTAGAATTTTCAAGGAATTCATGCTTTTCGGACATAAGTCTTCGCATCATTCATATTGTCATAACTTTTTTTTTTGAAAAAATAATTAATTATTATTTTTAAAAAACAATTATGATTTCTATTTTGAAAATTTTGGGATTTATGAATTGATTTGAATTAAATGAAAAGGGAGCCGCCATCGACCTTTGGGTTAGGTAGGTTGAATACCTTATAACGTCTTTTAAAACAATTTTAAGAAAAATCGTTTTTTAAGACAAAATTCGGTTTGCGTTTATCAAAAATTCATTTTTAAGGGTTCGAGAATTGATTACGCGTGGGGAAGGGTAATTACCCCTACAACGCCCAAAATTGATATTGTGTCGCTTACACTTTGTCGTAAATGGTGGAAATTGTGAATTCGCATCGATAATTACAGTATGATCCATTTATTAAAGTTAATTAATTTGCTTCGACTTATTAATCAGAGAAAATTCTTTAACTTGAAAAGAAATCTCGAGATTAGCAATTCTCAATCGGAAAACTATCTCGTCTATTTCTTATCTGTAAAGAACATTCCCTCCCCGATAAAAATATGTATCGAATATATATAAGAATATTGACATTTGCGTAAAATAACATAAATTGTCATTTAGAAACATGCATTGCATCATTTGAATTAAAACCGATTAATTAGCACTAAAAATAACTTTGATTCATTTCAAGCTCCCATTTTGTTCGAACGTCATATCGGATTGCAACACTTCGATTACGTGATACTTTCCAAGCCCATTCTACAAATGCAGTTCTTGATAATATTCAAATAACTCATCAATAAATAAAAAATACAATGAAAATAAATGCAGTTGGAAATATACGAAATAAAATATTTACAATAAATAGAGCTAATAATATTTATTTAATTTAATACATGTCACTACATTATATGTAAAATATATTCATACATGAAGGACTAAAATAAAAACAAGCGAACATTACAAACCAAAATAAAATACCAAAATAAGCATTCAAGAACTTGAAGGAACTAAACATTAATTACAAACAAACTAGAGCCAAGATCGAAAATATTAAACAATACAGGTACTGGAAATGAAAATGAAAATAACCCATTAACAACATTAAGGACTGGAATGAAACAAACCAGAAACATAAAGGGGAAAATAACAATTAATCCTAAATACAAAAATATTAAAATAGTGACCAAAATGAAACATGCATAAATTATAGGGTTAGATTCGCATATCAACAAAAATAAACAACACATGAAATCAATGACTAAAATGAAATAATCACAAATATTGTAACCAGAGTCAAATATAAACGAAAATAGTATGATACATAGGATGGTGACTTAAATGTAAATGTGAGAAATTAAATACTTGAAAAGGAATAATACAAAGCTTGGATTAATGGCCAAAATAGATTGATAAAAACGACCAGGGGCCTAAAATGCTATTAGCCCATAGCAAAGTAAAAACACGGGTGAGATTTGCAAAATTCATGGACTAAGGCTGATATTAACCTAATGCCTAAAATACGCTAAACCCCCTCGGGCAAAACGACGTTGTTTTGTAGATGGTATATAAGGCCAAAATTAGGCCACCATTCTCTAAGACCCCAGATCTAACACTTTACCTTTCGAATATTTTGGAGACCGACGACTTTCGGGCTTCCACACTCCGAACCCAGGTATTTTATTTTTCCTTTGGTTGTGTTCTGATCCCTCTTTTCTTTTCTTTTGTGTTGTTTTTTTTTCTTTTATTGTTTTTGAAAACTCTCTAGGATTTTTTTCGGTTCCCGAATCCCCCAATCTCTCTCTTTGTTTTTTTCTTTTGTTTCGAATGGTCTCTGTGTTTCTCTTTCCCTTCCTGATTTTTCTTTTATGTCCCTCTCTCTCTGTTGTCTTCTCTGATCTTTTACCCTTTACATGTGTGATGGATCTGTTGCCGATGAGATAGGATATCATTATCGTATCTCCCTTGATTGACAGAAATAAGATTTTTTCAGATTTTTTTGTACTTGCTCTGATTTTGATTTGTTTTTGTGACTGATGGATGCATTTTTGTCAATGTTGATAATAACATCGGGCGAAAAATGTTTGGCGGAGGCTCACGCAGCGGGGGGAACGAACAGTGGAGTCAACGCGCCAATGGGAGTTGAAACGTTGGCGGCTGCTGCTATTGGTTAGGGTTTAGAAACCCTAATTAGTTTGGGTTACAAACAGGCAGGTTTGGGTCATGCCTTGGTTGGGTCGAGTTAATCCGAACTTGGGCTTCTGCTATGTTTGTATCTCTTTCGGGCTTGGTATGTAGTATGGGCTAGTGAGTGTTGTGGTTTGGGGTTGGCCTAGATGTTGGGCTTGAATCGGGTCACTTGTTGGGCCTACAAAATAACAATGTAAAATATGTAAATAAAAATAAAATAATAATAATAATAATATTTTTATAGACCCGGACAAAAATGGGTGTTTACAGCTGCCCCTCTTTACAAATTCTTGTGTTAACAAGAATAGGGCAAAGACGAAGAAGATAACAAGTTTTTGTCCGGTTCTATTTATTTCTTGGAAATTTAATATGTTTGTTATTAGGGATGACACTGCTCAAACGTGATGAAGAGTTCTGTTTGTCTAAGGGTGACATAGCTCCTACATGATGAGGAGATATGGTCGGTGGATGACACGATTCCTACGCGATGAGGAAGTCTGACCATCTTTAGGGATGATGATAACATGGTTCCTATGCGATGAGGACGGTTGGTTATCTAGGGGTGACACGACTCCTACGTGATGAGGAGATCTGGTTGGTGGATGACACGGTTCCTACGCGATGAGGATGACTGGCCATCTTTAGGGATGATAACACGGTTCCTACACGATGAGGGCGGTTGGTTATCTAGGGGTGATGCGGCTCCTACGTGATAAGGAGATCTGGTCGGTGGATGACACGGTTCTTACGCGACGAGGATAATTGGCCATCTTTAGGGATAATGTTTCAAGAGAAACTATCTCAAAGGAGACACAACTCATTTCAAGGGAAATGATCTCAAAGATGATGTTTCAAGAGAAACTGTCTCAAGGGAGACAAAATTTTGTTTTAAGTGAAACATACTCAAAGATGATGTTTCAAGAGAAACTGTCTCAAGAGAGACAAAATTAATTTCAAGGGAAACAACTCAGAGATGATGTTTCAAGAGAAACTGACTCAAGAGAGACAAAATTTGTTTTGAGTAAAAATTGTCTTAAGAGAGACAAAATTTGTTTCAAGGGAAATGATCTCAAAGATGTTTGTTTTGTTTCAAGTTAAATAACTTTCAGAATTTGTATTCCGAGGGAAACTATCTCAAGTGAGACAAAATTTGCTTTTTAGAGAAAACTGTCTCAAGCAAGACGACCCTTTGTTTCAAGAGAAACAATCTCAAAGGCGATCGATAGTCTACTTGTTCCTGCATGTTGAGGAAACACCTTCAGAAGATCTGATCGTTTACTTCAGGATGTTGAATCTCCAAAGATGCCCCAATATTCATCATTTCTTGCTTCAACATTGATTTTAAGCATGAGCTTTGTGTCTAAGAGCCACATGTTAACTACCAAGATCCACTCCAGAGAGATTGACTTGTTTGAAAAACGTTTTTCTTCTTCTTTTATTTTCAAAAGTATAAAAATATCAATTAAAAGAATTTTGAAAAATGTTTAATCAACGTTTGAAAAATATTGCCCCTTTCTAGGTTTCACAATTGAAACATGTCATAAAACAAGAGTTCATTGGATATCAAAGAATTAATTACACTTTTAATCCTTCAATAAATTATAGCTATCTGACAAGTGTCAAGATCAACACTATCCTTGAGGCATGGTTAAGTAAGGAAATGATAAAAAAGTCTCCGGTTATTGTCTTTAGTAAAAGGTTTGGTATTCTTATTTCTTTGATGTTCACTGGTCTGATGTAGTATATTCTATGCTCATCTACTGGGGTGTCACATTAGGGCCACTTGAGCGACCTACTGTAAAAAATATCGAAAATTTTATAACTTTTATTAAAACATATAACTCATAAAATGATTTATCAGTATACAGAGATAAAACAAATTTTTAGACTCATATATAAAACAAAATACAACTACATGCCCCCTAATCAATGTACCATACTCTACAAGCAATAACGGAAGAACTCCCTTACTGATGTCGATAGATGCACTGATACAATTCTTTTAACCTAAAAAGGTGAGTAACAGAGTGAGCTTTGGAAAGCTCAGTAATACAGAACGTATAGATACATATAAACATATATTTCCTTATTGGTTCAGACATGTACATATTTTTAGATTGAGTTGAGGTTCCACTGATATCTCAGGTAATAAAAGATAGTTAGTTTTCAGTTCAGAGGAAAATATTTCGGATGACTGGGTCCAAAAGATCAAGATAGGTTATCTAGTGTGTTCCCGCAAAACCAATGAAAAGATATAGATATTTTTAAAACATAA